CCTCCCAAAATTCTGAAATTATCTAATTATGTTTTTGTACCCATTAACCATCTCCAGTGCTCACAGCACCTTACCCCTGGTTCCACTCCCCCGCTTCCCAGTCTTTGGTAATCATCATTCTACTCTCTGTCTCCATGAGTTCAAGGCAGCGGTTTTTTCAAAGCCTAGGGGAGGGACATGGGATTACTCATGCTACAGACTTTCCAGCTGATTGTACAACTACGCCCATGAAATTGACTTGATGATTTATTTAACATACTACAAAAGTAAAAAATTATAAAATGACCATCATTTTGCCCTTTTTGATACATACTCAGATACTGAAAAGTTATGATAATAACCACTAGTATCTATTGTGTGACTATTAACTGCTAGACACTGTGCTTGACATATATTATCTCTAATTCTCATGAAACTACTCTCAGGGGGTTATTATTTTCCCTACTTTACTTATGGGGACTAGGCTCAGAGGGATTGAGCAAACTTGCCCGATATCACGCAGCCAGTATGCGGTTCAGCTGGTTTGACTCCATGGCTTGTGTTCTTTGTATTCAGTTCCTTTCTCATTCAGTAAACACGGAAAACATTACATACGGTGGATTTCAATAATCTTTTCCTTTCATTGCAAATACTAAAAATGTTATTAAAAAATAGAGAACTATAGTACACGATTTACATTGTATAGAATCTGGCTGGGCGCAGTGGCTTACACCTGCAATCCCAGCACTTTGGGAGGCCGAGGCGGGCGGATCATTTGAGGTCAGGAGTTCAAAACCAGCCTGACCAATATGGTGAAACCCTGTCTCTACTAAAATACAAAAAAAAAAAAATTAGCCGGGCGTGGTGGCACATGCCTGTAATCTCAGATACTCAGGAAGCTGAGGCAAGAGAATCACCTGAACCAAGGAAGTGGAGGTTGCAGTGAGCCAAGATCATGCCACTGCACTCCAGCCTGGGCAACAGAGCGAGACTCCCTCTCAAAAACTAAAAATAAAAAAGGAATCTAAATTCTGCTTGCACTTCTTGTTGAAACTTTTCTTTTTCCTATGGTCTTTCAGTTTTTCTGATTAAGGAAAGAACCTTTTTTGTTGCCCAGGCTGGAGTGCAATGGTGCTATCTCAGCTCACCACAACCTCCAACTCCCTGGTTCAAGTGATTCTCCTGCCTCAGCCTCCCAAGTAACTGGGATTACAGGCATGCGCCACCATGCCCAGCTAATTTTTGTAATTTTTAGTAGAGACAGGGTTTCGCCATGTTGGCCAGGCTGGTCTCGTAATCCTGACCTCGTGATCCGCCCGCCTCGGCCTCCCAAAGTTCTGGGATTACAGGCGTGAGCCACTGCACCTGGCCACCTTTTTAAAGGCGTCTCTGTGTAAGTATCATCAGAAGTAGGCACTATCAATCTGAGCTGGGGCAAGAGCCAGTGGGCACCAATTTGGAGGCTAGCAGAGTGATAAAATTTACTTCACAACCTTTTAAAATAGTGTTCAGAGGCATAAGGAGCACAGAATCTTGGGAAACTAAATTAATTTTGTTCCAGAGCAGATCAGCTAGGGCAGTACAGGATTTTGGACCCTCTGTGTTATTAATAACCCTTGTATTTCCTGAGTTATTAATAACAGTTAATTATTGATTATAACCTCTGGGCCAGTAGCCTGGGAATATGCATTTAGCAAGGGTCTCCGGGTGCTTTTTAAGCCCTTCGACATTTAGGTACCTAGTTTTAATAATCCTGTTGTTTTCACTTCAGCAGGTAAAACTGGGCAGCATCTTTAACAATTTCCTTCTTACAAATGAAGAGTTTGCTCAAAAAGTTGGAAATAAGACCCGGGGAATAAGAAAAGTAAGGTATTCCCCCACTCTGCATTCCAGATGTCTGACTCCTCAGTTGTTCACTGTTCTTTGCATTTCAAAAATCAGCCACATAGTCTTTGTCTCATTTTTGGTCACTTGGCCCTGAGAGGTAGGAGAAAGAACTCATGTTCACTGGACATCTATAATTTTGTACTTGTGGCTCTGTCAGCACTTTCCAAATACTATCGCACTTAGCCCTAAAACAACCCAGCAAGACAGATATTATTACTTCCATTTTTCAGATGTAGGAACTGAAATTCAGAGTATAAAGTACCCAAAGTCATCCGCAGCCTTTGACTTGTTGAAGTTTTGCCTTCCCTGTTGATTCACAAACTATAAGAGTCTCTTATATTTTCTTTATAATTTTACTTTTCATGTTTATTATATTTTTAACCACCTAGAGTCTACTCTTGTATAGGATATAGAATTGTTGAAATATGGTAATTATACTATCCAAGCCTTAATGTATCAGTTTCTGAGAGGAGGATGTTCAAGTCTTCAGCTACAATTATGCATCTATTTTTCCCTGCAGTTTCTCTCTCTGTCTGCCTCTGTGTGTGTATATATAAGTATTTATATTTATATCTATATTTGTAAGAGACAGAGTCTTGCTCTGTCTGCACAGAGTGCAGTGGTGTGATTGTGACTCACTGCTGCTTCAAACTGGCTCAAGCAATCTTCCCACCTTAGCCTCTCGAGTAGCTAGGACTACAGAAGTGCAGAAGTGTGCCACCACACCCAGCTAACTTAAAAACAATTTTTTTTTTTTGGCCTGGCGCGGTGGCTCACGCCTGTAATCCCAACACTTTGGGATGCCGAGGCGGGTGGATCACCTGAGGTCGGGAGTTTGAGACCAGCCTGAACAACAAGGAGAAATCCCCGTCTCTACTAAAAATACAAAATTAGCCAGGTGTGGTGGCAGATGCCAGTAATCCCAGCTACTCGGGAGGCTAAGGCAGCAGAATCACTTGAACCCAGGAGGCGGAGGTTGCAGTGAGCCGAGATGCGCCATTGCACTCCAGCCTGGGCAACAAGAGCGAAACTCTATCTCAAAAAAAAAATTTTTTTTTTAAGAGATGGGATCTTGCTCTGTTGCCCAGGCTGGTTTCAAACTCCTGGCCTCTCATGCTCCTTTTGTGTTTCAGACTACCTACTCTAGTGCATTGATCTAGAAGGGAGCTACTGAGCTCATTTTCTTTTTCTTTGTTGTTTTGGCTTTTGTTGTCGTTGAGACAGGGTCTTGCTTCTTGGCCCAGGCCGGGGTATGGTGGTGAGAATACAGCTCACTACAGACTCAATCCCCGGGACTCAAGCGATCCTCCTGCCTCAGCCTCCCAAGTAGCTGGGACTACAGATGCACGCCACCATGCCGGGTTAATTTTTTTTTTTAACGTTTTTGTAGAGACGGGATCTTGCCATGTTGTCCAGGCTGATCTTGAAGTCCTGGGCTCAAGCAATCCACGTGCCCCAGCCTCCCAAAGTGTTGGGATTACAGAAAATAGGCCTAAGCTTATTTTCTGATGGATGGCTACAAGAAAGAAGCAAGGTGATGAGTGCTGTTTACCGGCTTCCCCGGCCTCCTAGAACTATTTTATGGGTGGAGTGATACTTGGGGCAATGGTCTCATGACCCTGACAAGCTCTATCCAGATATCCTGGTTCTGCAGGAAGGTCCATTGAAAAGCAGGTTGTGGCCAATACTTGATTACTCAATAGGCGGATTAAGCTTATGCTTAGAGCACCCACAAAAACACAGGCCCAAAAAAAAATTTGCTTGTTTGTTTTTTAAAGAACTTTGATACTTAATATTTCCTTAAAAAAAAAAAAAATAGAAAGACCAGGTGTGGTAGTCCACGACTATAATCCTAGCACTTTGGGAGGCTGAGGTGGGTGGATCATTTGAGGTCAGGAGTTCAAGACCAGCCTGGCCAACATGGTGAAATCCCATCTCTACTAAAAGTACAAAAATTAGCCAGGCACGGTGGCGGGCGCCTGTAATCCCAGCTACTCAGGAGACTGAGACAGGAGAATCACTTGAACCTGGGAGGTGGAGGTTGCAGTGAGCTGAGATGGGGCCATTGCACTCCAATCTGGGCTACAGCGTGAGCCACCGTCTAAAAAAAAATTGAAACAGTCATTCTGGGAAAAATTATTTGACCTTGTAATACGTTTTAGTCTGCTTTTGTCTTGTTTTACTTTAGGATTATATCTAAAATTGTTTTGTGAAGGTACTTTTTCATATTGGTTAAGAGTTTGAATTTTGGAGCTAGACTGCTTGAGTTTAAATCCAGGCTGCATTATTTAGTAGCTGTATGAACTTAGGCAAGTTATTTAACCGCTCTTCATCTATAAATGGAGAATAATGATAGCCTCTATCTTATAAGTTCCTGGTATATAGTAAGTGCTCAATACATGGTAGTTATTATTATTAAACCATACATTCACTTGACAAGTACTTGAGTACCTGTTCAAAGCACTGTTTTAAATGCTGGGGTTATAGCAGTGAAATAAAACAGAGAAGTTTCTACCTTCATGGGGCTTACTTTCAGTTTGGGGAGATCGACAAGAAAAGTGTAAGGAAGTCTGAATCTCAGATCCCTCATCTAGAAAGTAAAACAAGTAACACACCTCATACTTTGCTGTGAGGAATGTAAATAACATGTGTAGATTGCCTATTATAGCACTGTGGTTAGCAATGCAGTAGGCATTCAATAAATGTTTGCTAAACTGGAACCAATTTTATTTATGAACAAACTACACACACACATACACATTTCTATTCACCCTACACATGCTGAAACTTTGTATATAAATAAACACTATCCCAGAAATCTTAACACTGTTGGAAGGCTGTGCACGGTGTCTCGTGCCTGTAATCCCAGCACTCTGGAAGGCTGAGGTGGGTGGATCTCCTGAGCTTAGGAGTTCAAGACCAGCCTAGGCAACATAGCCAACCCCCATCCCTATGAAAAATACAAAAATAAAATTAGCCAGTTGTAGTGGCGTGTGCCTGTGGTCCCAGCTACTCAGGAGGCTGAGGTGGGAGGACCGCTTGAGCCCAGGACGTAGAGGTTGCAATGAACCAAGATGGCACCATTGCATTCCAGCTTGGATGACAGAGTGAGACCCCATCTCAAAAAATAAATAAATAAATAAATAAATGATTATGGGAAGATGTCAGATATTTCTAAAGTTGGTTAACTTTGTTTATACTATCGGTAAATTATTTTGAAATTCCACATTCTAAACAGGACCTAAGAGAAGCAATGGAGAGAACTGTTTGAAGAAACTGGAAAAAGAAAGCAGTCAGAAGAGGCCAAGGAGAAAAAGGAAATGGAGGAAGAAGAGGAAGATGGCATTTGGGGAATTGAAGAAAAGGGAAATGAATTGGATCCCACTGCAGAGCCAGGAAATGACAGGCAGATGCAGGAACATGATGCTGACAGAGCGTTTCTGGATAAAAATGAAAGAGTCCTTGTTGACCAGAAGGATGAACTGTAACTGGGATTGTAGAGGCAAATGTTAGGAGGAGAAATATTTATGAGGTTGGTACAAATTGGGGAGCAAAATAACTTACTTTTTTGAAATAAACTTTGGATTTGTATTTCCATCCCACTCCCTTTGCTCTGTGAGACTTGGGGAAAGTCACACTGCCTCTTGGGGCTTCTATTTCCTTATTAGTGGAAAGGGAGTGATCATTTCTCTTTTATGAGGTTGTAGGGATTAAATGAACTAATGTATGTAAAGTGCCTGATACAAATATGTAGTCGAAAAATGGTTGCTATCACTACTGTCATTATTATGGAGTTTATGAAATTAGTTATCAGTAAATAAACTTCTGTATAAACTTAATCCTCACTTTCAGTTTATCCCAGGACACCCAAGGATTTTATTTTGTTTAAATGTATGGGGCCAGGCACAGTGGCTCACGCCTGTAATCCCAGCACTTTGGGAGGCTGAGGTGGGTGGATCTCCTGAGGTCAGGAGTTTGAGACCAGCCTGGCTAACATGGTGAAACCCCATCTCCACTAAAAATACAAAAAACTAGCTGGGGTTGGTGGCGGGCACCTGTAATTCCGCTACTTAGGAGGCTGAGGCAGGA